AAGAAGGCATTAAGTAGTCTGCCTTTTCCCTATCCCCTGTCAGCATTGCCCCATCTTCTCCTCGAAGAGGTCCTATCGCCTCCTTGTTTTTCCTTTTTCTACTGACATAAGAATAGAGCCCTTTTTATTGTTTTTAATGTCCCTGGCAAGTCTGAGCTCGTTTTTTGCTTTAGCCTTGCGGACCTTTTCCCTACAGGTGTTGGCTATTTGTTTGAATTCTTCTTTGGTGATTTCTCCCTTTTTCCACTTCTTGTGCATGTCTCTTTTGTGTCTTAGCACAGTTAGAAGTTCTTTGGACATCCATTCTGGCTTCTTTGCACTTGTCCTATTTTTTCTCTTTGTTGGCATGGTTTGCAATTGCGCCTTGAGTATTTCACTCTTGAGAAATTCTCATCCATCCGTAACTCCCTTGTCTTTTAGTATCTGTGTCCACGGAATGCTGCTCAGCGTTTCCTTCATTTTTTGGAAATCAGCTCTCCTAAAGTCCAAAATGCGGGTTTGACTTGTCTTAGTTTCGGCCTTCCTTTGTACCTCAAATTGCAGGAGCACATGGTCACTTGCCCCTAAGGATCCTACCACTTCGACCGCATCGATCAGGTCCTCCGCATTTGTTAGGATGAGATCAAGAGTAGCCAATCCCCTTGTTGCCTCTTCTACCTTCTGGACCATGAAATTGTCTGCAAGGCAAGCGAGGAATTTGTTGGACCTTGTACTCTTGGCCGAGTTTGTTTTCCAGCAAATATCAGGATAGTTGAAATCACCCATGACTACTACATCTCTTCTCTGTGCCTGTTTGGTCAACTGTTGGCAGAAGACTTCATCAAGTTCTTCCTCCTGGCTTGGGGGTCTGTAGTAGACGCCTACAACGACATCTTTTTGAGTCCCAGTTCCCTTGATTCTTATCCAGATGATTTCAAGCTGGTTTCCCAGATTGCTGTCTTGAATCTCTTCTGTAGCATAAGAGTTTTTGACATATAAGGCTACTCCGCCTCCTCTCCCCTTTGTTCGGTTTCTGTGAAAGAGGTTATACCCCTCGATATTTACATTCCAGCGATAGGAGTCATCCCACCAGGTTTCAGTGATCCCTATGATATCATATTTGTGGTGTTGTGCTAAAAGTTGGAGTTCGTCTTGTTTATTTCCCATGCTCTGTGCATTAGTGTAAAGACATGTGAGCCCCTGAGATCTTCCCTTGAGCTGTTTAATTGGGATTATTGTGCTTTTTGTACTTGGTCCTTGTTGTGTTTGTGCAGCCCTCCGTTTAGCCTTCTGGCGATTCCCAGACATTATGGGTAAAGTAGTGTTCGCAAGGCTGTTGTCCCCCTCCCCCGGTGGACCTAGTTTAAAGTGCGTCTAATGAGGTTTGCGAGTCTGTGAGCAAAAAGGTGTTTTCCTACTTGTGTGAGATGCACCCCATCCCTTGCCAGTAGGCCATCCTCCTGGAAAAGCAGGCCATGGTTGAGGAAGGAAAAGCGTTCCTCCTGACACCATTTTCTAAGCCAGTCATTGACCTGTACTATTTTTCTGGCTCTTGTGGGTCCGTGTTTTACAACAGGGAGGAGGGATGAAAAGACCACCTGTACATTACATTCTTTTAGCTTTGCTCCTAGAGCTCGAATAATCATTTGTGATCTTTTGAAACGTATGCCTTGCAGTATCATTGGTTCCTACATGAATCAACATGAGGGGAGGACGGTGATAGGGCTTGAGGAGCCTGGTGAGCCTCTGAGTGATATGGTGTATTTTTGCCCCCGGTAGGCAGCATATTTCTCGAGCCATCCCATCTGGTCTGGAAATGACAGCTTCCGTTCCTCTAAGGAGGGAGTCGCCTACTACCAAGACCTGTTTACTTTCGGGAATGACAGGGCCCCTTTTGTGCAATGTAGTGTGTAGGTCTCCAGAAAAGTGATCCTGTTGGTGTGAATTGTGTAGGTGAAAAGTGTTGTCCTCCTCCTCGACATCCCCGGTGCATTCGTCAAGGACAATCCATTGAGATTCGTCCAAGAGCCTATGGTTCTCCTGTATGTGTTCCTGTTGCACCTGGTCTATGGTTGGGGATGGTACACCTGCACGATTGTGCAAGTGTGAATGTTGTGAAGTGTTGTCCCAGTCAGGGCTATCCCCTGCACACTGATCAAGGATGAGCCACTGATCAGTATCTAAGCCATTCTGGTGATAGAAAAGTTGAGAAATAGAAAATAGAAAGCCTGAACTAACGCTTCCTACCCTATATCTGCTGTCTTCTTCATAATCAAAAAATCTGTTATTTTTGTCATCAAACTTCTCTCTGGTAAATTAAGTTTCCAGGATCCCTTGGATATCATTGGGGAGCCTATTGTTCTTGTCACTAACTTCTTGATTTTTTTCTTTGTTATACCTACATCCCTGTACTACTAATTCTCCCTCGATAATATAGAAAACCCAATATTTTCATTTTCTCTTCTTCTTATAAATTGTCAATGAAAGGCTGCCTTTTTTGTTGTAGTGGCAGCTTGCAGGCGTGATATGCGTCCATCGCCTGGAGTGGCATTGATCAGAGCACAAGAGGAATCAGAGAAGGGGGGAATGAGAGGGTGATTCCACATCTCCTACCTCCTATATTGCTTTGGTGCCTGACCTATGTCACTACAGACTTTGAGTGATGGATATCAGCCATGTCCATGGGAAGTTTTTCAAGATATTTCTCACTGCATAACTCCAGGAATGCACAGTGGCAATTATATTTCAGCTAGTTCCAGAAATCAAGTATACACTTAAAGTTTCTCCAGCTTATGCAATCTTCTGAGTTAAAAAAGATTTCTTCATGTGTATGTAAACTTTCCTCCCTGTTTGGTAACGGAACCAGTAGACGAATAGTCACTACAATGCAAAATGTAATTTGTTTTGTGATATGATACTGGATGAGAAATATCCTACAGATTATGAACTGACATATGAAAAGGAAAAAAAGAACTGATCTGTTTTCAAGTGCTTCTTTATCCAATGAAGTAACTCCAACTCGATTTAATAAAACAATGTAAGGTAAGTTCCTGAAAACAATGTAAGGTTTACATGTGTTTTCTCTTTAATTTTTTATGTTATCTACACCAGTGAGGAAATAGCATGTCTTTTTGATGACACTCAATTGTGTTATGTACTTCAAGTGTGCTTTAGTTCAAGATCTAGATATAGTATCTAAGCTTAACATCTCAGTATAATTTTCATTATGTGTCTAGGGGATTAGGTTACCCTGTTGGCAATGAAATTATTGTAATATAGATAGGGCATGACCATCCTAATAGTTGGGCAAAAATGTCATTATGGAAGCTTCTCCCATGTAAACCATTCTTCTTTTTCTTATATTTCTGAGAGAAAACCAATCCCTTTCCACAAGTTCACAAGAGTTAATGATGTTCAGCTTGTATTAATAACAACTGCAATTAAGAACAGTGTTTTATGAAAAATGTAAAGACCTTTATGGAGGAAAGACAGGTTACTAATGTAACAAATAAATACGCTTACGTATATAACATATTATTTGTTATGTGTCTTCATGTTGTTTCCAACTTATGGTAAACCTATGGCATTCCTACATTTTTTTTGCAAAATTTGTTCACAAGAAATATGCCTCGTTTTTCTCTGAGACTGAGACAGCATGACTTGCCCATGGCCATGGTCACCCATCCCAGTGGGTCTTCATGGCTGCATGGGCATTTGAACCCTGATCTCTAAAACTGTGGTTCAATGTTCTAAGCACTGGAACAATGAACTACAGTTTTATAATATTATAATGACAAAATATCAAGGAAACAAAATAATGAAAATGTTGCTCCAGAATAGGGCCCCCTGGTGGCACAGTAGGTTAAACCACTGAGCTGCTGAACTTGCTGACCAAAAGGTTGGCAGTTTGAGTCTGGGGAGTGGGGTGAGCCCCTGTTGTTAGGCCCAGCTTCTGCCAACCTAGCAGTTTGAAAACATGCAACTGGGAGTAGATCAATAGGTACTGCTTCTGCAGGAAGGTAATGACATCTATGCACTCATGCTGGCCACATGACCTTGGAGGTGTCTAAGGCCAGTGCTAGCTTTTCAGCCTAGAAATGGAGCTGAGCACCCCACACCCCCAGAGCCGGACACAACTAGACTTAATGTCAGGGGAAACCTTTACTTTACTAATGGGCAAACACCAAGGAAAGAAAATAATGAAAATGTTGCTTCAGAATACATCCTAACCTACATCTTGTAGAGGTTTCATTCAGAACCCATTCAGAACCCAGAGTTACATTTAATCAGCTAACTAGAAGATGTGACTTATTGTAGCAACTTAGCATAAATGAGAGCTGGACCTTAGGGAAGGCTGAGCGAAGGAAGATAGATGCTTTTGAACTGTGGTGTTGGAGGAAAGTTCTGAGAGTGCCTTGGACTGCGAGAAGATCTAACCAGTCCATTCTCCAGGAAATAAAGCCCGGCTGCTCACTGGAGGGAAGGATACTAGAGACAAAGTTGAAGTACTTTGGCCACATCATGAGGAGACGGCAAAGCCTAGAGAAGACAATTATGCTGGGGAAAGTGGAAGGCAAAAGGAAGAGGGGTCGACCAAGGGCAAGATGGATGGATGGCATCCTTGAAGTGACTGGACTGACCTTGAAGGAGCTGGGGGTGGTGACGGCTGACAGGGAGCTCTGGCGTGGGCTGGTCCATGAGGTCACGAAGAGTCGGAGATGACTGAACGAATGAACAACAACAGCATAAATGAAAATAACTATTCTTACTGTATTTTCCCCTAGAACACTCAGCCATATCCACCAATGGAAGTTACATAGATAAAGCTTAACTGGATTCTATTTTGTTCAATTGTGTACACCTATCAATGAATCCATGGACTTATTAACATATGTATAGATATATACAGAAGTATGTAAAGACTCAAAAGCTATAGTCAAATATTAGGTTTTCATGAAGGTTTTGACAGATTTTTTAAAAAAATTAGTCATTCTTGCAAACAACAGTGATGTAATTTTTACCTGCTCCAATAACTCTCTCAATACGTATTCGTGATGGATCTATCTCCTTAGCAAATTCATGAACAGCAAGCGATGGATCTTCATATGTGTCTGGATCGATATATGTTTTGGTTCCAGGGTATCGCACTGTAACATAGAAAGATAATTTCCCCATTTGACAAAAATGATTCATGCAAAATAAAAAAATAAAATAAAATTGAACTATTAGAAAATGCTGCTGTTATAACTGTTATAATGATTGTTCAACAAACTTTCTTCAAAAAGAGGATTTTGTGCCAGGTACCCTGGCAACAGCACTTTTGGAGAAAGAGTGTATTTAGTATTAGTTTATAAATAGTTGCAGTTAACTAATTATCACAGCTTGTCTGTATTGCATAACGAGGAGTGGATGGTCAGCCTCTTTCCTTACTCAGGCAATAATTTAAAGGTAGCAAAAATACTACCCGTTTCCCTATTCTGAGCCATCCAGTATAGGAAAGGATGGTTTAAACATCTCATGTCTGTGATCATGTAGATAAGTTTTGAAATATGCTGCGGATCCAGCCCCTAGTTTGAACATAATTGGTGAAGAGGTCAATCTTGAAATCTCCTTCCATGAACTATGAAGGAATGAGGAAAATGTGGGCAACAGGTTATATGAAGACCCCCAATGTTGTTTTTAAGCATATTTTAATTCTGTTGTTTTTAGAAGGAGCTGACCAATCTGTTGAAAATGATTGTTCTGAGTCTCATGTGACTTTGGAAGGTCCCAGGAAAGGCCCAAAATAAGTTGAAATTGTCCCACCCATTTGACAGCCTGAAGAAGAGAAGGCTGAAAGGAAACATGATAGCCATGTACAAATATGTGAGGGAAAGTCATAGGGAGAAGGGAACAAGCTTGTTTTCTGCTGCCCTGGAGACTAGGACGCGGAACAATGGGTTCAAACTACAAGAAAGGAGATTCCATCTGAACATTAGGAAGAACTTCCTGACTGTGCGAACTGTTCAGCAGTTGAACTCTCTGCCCCGGAATGTGGTGGAGGCTCCTTCTTTGGAGGGTTTTAAACTGAGGCTGGATGGCCATCTGTTGGGGATGCTTTGAATGCAGTTTCCCTGCTTCTTGGCAGGGGGTTGGACTGGATGGCCCATGAGATTTCTTCCAACTTTATGATTCTATGATTTTATAATGTTGGGATACATTTTTTGTGTTTTTAAAAATATGGGTGAAGTAATGGTAGTGAGTGGCCATCCAAGATCACTTGAAAGGCACACAGAGGCCCATAGCTCATCTCTGATCACACAACCTATTCGTGCTATCAAAGATAGTGTCCCTTTTTCTAATCTTAAGAAGAGGCAGACAGTGCTCCTGCTTTTTGTTCATGAATTGTCTTGCTAGTTAAAAAGTGTATGTAAATTTTATAACTTTCCAAAAAACGTAGGTAAAAAGGAGGATGGGAGGGGGAGAAAAAAATGTGGCAGCACCTTTATAAGACTAACTGGTTTTCAATTCCCACCATGAAATAAAGAGACCAGACACAGGAAAATGGATATAAGGGCCATTTTCTGATCTATGTATTAATAAGAACTTCTAGACTAACCTGTGAACAAAAACACCGTTAAGGGGAATTAATCTGCAAGACATGACTTTTTGTGTATTAGCCACCTAGTGAGAACTATTCCTTTGGACATCAAAGATCCTGAAGGCCACCCAAAATTATTTGGCTGCACCTCTCCGTTGATCATAACTGGAAGGCCACCCTGAGGATGCTCCCTCCCAAACCTCATTGTTTTGAAGAGTGAGAACCCCATTCCAACCCCAAGGGTACTCCTTTTTCAGGCCACTGCCCCTCCAAACATATAGGAACTGTTTTGGAACTCAACCCTTCAACCACCAAAGGGGTGGGGGGATGCCACAGTGCCTACAGGACTATTTCATCTTTACCATGCCATAGAACCTGTTTAAATGACTCAAGGAAATCTATTTAAATGACTCCACCCTAAGCCAATTACCACACCAATCTGAAAAAATGTGGAGTTTCTTTTACTTTTACCTGAAGCATCCTCAGTTTATACTGAACCTTCTTCCTTATCTCCAAGCTGCCCCACATCTCTGTTCTATGGATGAGAATGGGGCTGGAATGTTTGCTGCTAGGGAAAATTATAAATTGATTCATCTGCTGAAGTCTCAATTCTAAGTTCGCTGATATATGTTTTAAAACTCTGGAAGAGCTGACACTGAATACATTTTCTTTATGGAAACAATTCCACTATGAAAATGAAAAGGATTTTTTTTAAAAAAATAAACAAGTGTGATAGGATTCTCAGCAGGCAGAAGTTGGAACTTCAGAGAAAATCACATAATGAGGAACAGGTGGAAATGTACAAAAATATCGTCAGAGTTGATAAAAAGACAAACACTTTCATTTTGAAGTCTACAAAGATGTTCGAAATTGTTTTCTTTCCTAAGATAAACATATTGGAATAAACATAGATTAAAAAATAAAACCTGACAAAAGTTCTTAGATCTTTGGAATCCTTTTTGGTGTATGTATATAGAAAAGTTGCTATGTTTGTTTACTTGATATAATATACATGCATACTTGTCTGAGCAGAAGGTGCCCCAGTTTTTCAGTGCTGGAGGAAATTGTGTAGAGTTTATGGCACTTCTCTCAACTTTGAGGTGGAGGTAACTGCTCTTGTTCATAACTGTCTGTAAACAAGTCTAAGGACTTGTTTAAACCAAGCCTATAACCCAAAATGGACCAGCAGTTGAACCTGGATGTACAGACAATGTCCAAGGACTTCTGGTAACCCAGGCTGAATTAGTTTAGCCCAGCAGTAAACAAAGTTGAGAATCTTCCAGAGTTTTGCAAGGCCGAATCAGTTTCAGCCCAACTGGACAATCTGGACTCCTCCCCTGGTATGGCCGTAGATTGGGGATAGAGCATCTGAGCAGCTTTGTGGCTCTAGGGCTAGTTTAGAGCATTCCTGCACCAGGTTGGCCCTGAATTTTTGGGTAGGTGTAGATAAGTGATTGTATATGCACTCTAATTTGATTCATGCTAGATATGATTAAAATATGAACCTTAGAGGACAGCAAGTCCCTTCTATCAGCCAAAATCAGGAAATATACAAGAGTTAATCTTCAGTTACTCTAGAAATTTTAGTCAAAATCTATCTCAAAAATCTGGATCAATCTACCCATAGGTCAGTGTGAGTGTAGTATCTTAACTCTTAAGAATTATCGCCTTCTTGATGAGAGTGGAAAAAGGCAAAGGCTCAGACCATCTTGGAAGATCCTAAAAGAAGCACTAACCCTTTATTCCTTCCATTATGGCAGATCTTCTAACTGTGGATTGCGTGGTTTTATACTGATAATATTTTATAATGTTTTGATGTATTTAATTTTGATTTTAATTGTAATGTATTTTAACTTTATATTGTTATGAAGGCATTGAATTATTGCTTATCTGTAAGCTGCCTTGAATCCCCTCTCTAGGGTAGAGAAAGGCAGGATATGATGGCACACCAGGAAGATCTAAAGAAAAACCTAAATGTTTCTGGCTATTTTCCCAGTGACCATCGGTATGCCCTAAATTACTATAATGTCCCCAAAAATGATACTCTACAGACAAGACTGAATTAACCAAATTGAGTTTACTGAATAAACAGGGTGAAATAAAACAAGGTACAAAGGTGTGAATCTGAGGTAAAAAACATCTATAATTTCTATGAGGTAAATATAACTATTAACTATTCTTTATTACATGTATAATCTATGAACTCTAACACATGTATGGCCATTAACTCTGGGTCAAGTATTATCTATTCTTTATAACATTTACAAATCTATAATCTAAGGGGCATATATATCTGAACTATCTATCTATAATCTATAAACTTTGGCAAATACAACTATTAACTATAGGGGAATGTATAACTATAAACTATAAGGCAAATACAAACTATCTATCTATAAACTCTAAGGCAAATACAAACTATCTATGAACTCTCTATCTATAGGGCAAATATGTATTATAAACTTTAAGGCAAATACGTGATTAGGATGGCCTGTTCAAATTGCTAGGCCAGACCAGACACTATCTGGCAACTGTCAACAAGCTAAGACTAACAAAGAATGGGAAACAAAGTTCTATAAGACTAACAAAGAATGGGAAACGAAGTTCAGGATATAAATATAGTAAATAAATAATAAATTTTCTGAATGACTGGGAGAGGTCATGGTGATGGAGGTGCCTGACCCTAAGTTGGCTTTGGTGCCTTCCCCATTCTGTGGGATGACCCTCAGCTTATCCATGGGTCATATCAAAATTCATAACTTTGGCCCCCAAAACTGCTTTCGACTTGCATATGAGGTTGACATATACATGAGTATATATATGAAACAGATAGATATAAAATGAGAAAACATATAGATATGGCAGCTTTATAGTCAATGGAGAATATATATAAATACAAGGGTTAATTCTCGGTTAAGTATGAATATCACATATTGCTTTACTTACAGTGTCCATTTTGCAAATGAGCTCTTCGTTTTTCTTCAGATTTCATTTTTGCCTTTATATACCATTGGCACCTTGAAAAAAAAAAGAACACCATTTCACTTTTTTAAATGCCACAGAATTAATAATATTGAATATACATTATGATTGCTTTTGGTCCAGCATTTTAATTTAGGTAAATTTCAGGTAACAGAAAAGGGCAACAAGAAAACCAGCAAGCAACAAAACAAAACAGACTGGAATCGTGTTAGTTAGTCTCAACTAGTGTGGACCTACACAATTAGGTTTTGAATAGTGAGTGGACACATAGATAAATTCCATTGATTTAATAGGCCTACTTTAGTCAAGACTAACAACAGGTTTCAGGTTAAAAAGTTTGTTAGCAATGAAACAAAAAATACTCTTCAGGTGCTTTGTACTAATGAGCATTAAATGTTTAAATGATGTTCTGAATCTATCCAGCTAACTATTTACAGAGATGGCAGTCTCTAAACTTGCCCTAACGCCCAAAATGGAATCAAAAACCATTTTTAAGGCCAAATATATAGATAATTAAAATTCCTTCTAGTTTAGTGCAAGCTGCACATGTAAAACTCAGTACTTCTGCTCACCCAATCTATAGAAGATTGCTGGAAAAAAAGAGTATGCTTCATTCAAACTTGTGTGTGAAATGTAGGCCACCAGCATCCTTTGACTCTTATTTCCATATGGTTGCTACAAAACTGCTCTGGAGAAAATTGATATTTCCCTTTCATGTAAATTCTAAAGAAGCAGGAATCTTCCCAAGATGCACATTTATAAGCTCCATGGCAGCTTAGAGACATGTCCACAGACTCTCGGCATCTAAAACTCTGATTCTCCATCTGTTCAATTCATCCCTGCCAATGACATACCCTACTTTTGTGTTCTTACATACACAATATTTTTCATACAGTCATTACACTGACAGTTGGCCCTTTGTATTTGCTGGGATTTGGTTCCAGGGCAGCTTGTGGATACCAAAACCTATGCATGCCCAAGTACAATTATATAAAATTTCTTTTATAAAATGGCTAAATGAAGGGTTTCTTTTTGGAATCTTTTGGTAAGGGCGATATTTTAAAACCTTGGATGGTTGAATTTCCAACTTATGGTGACCCTGTCATGGGTTTTCTTGACAAAATGTGTTCAGAGGGATTTAGCATTGCCTTTCTCTGAGAATGAGTAAATGGGCCTTTCCAAGACCATCCAGTGACTTTCCATGGTGGTGTTGAACTCCAGGCCAGGAAACACCTCTGTACTTAATCACCACACTCCACTCCAAGTTAAATCAGCAAAGCAGTTTATTAAAGATTATATGTATATGTAGCAAAAATAGTAAAAACTTCAAAATCTATATGTATAAAATAATCCACAAGGTTCAAGGCACAAGAGTAATCCAAAATCCCAAAGCAACAGGACACTGAACACAGGAATACAAGAAAACCAGGAAGTACAAGGCAGCATAGAATTCAATGTAAAAATCCAGGAACAATTCCTCAAACTTGGAAGCATGAAACAGGAGCAAAGACATGGAACTAGAATTCACTCAGAAAGCTTGACTAAGACTTGGCAAGAGCTGTTGCCTCAATTATCAACATTGAACAGACTAGCTGGAAAATCCCCCCGACCTCTCCAACATACACATGAAACAATGCCTTCTTCCATGACTTTCTGATACAGATCTCTTCTCTAACAAGCACTGTGACCTTCAGAGATTCTGTTGAGCTGCATGAAGTTTATGAAAACCGAGTCTCCTATCAACCAGCTCAAACTTCTGAACTTGTCTCCCTAGAGAACGTGTCTTCTGCACCATCTCGGCACCTCTCTGACCTTCACTAACTGCTGGAGACACAGATTGTTCATTTTTAGGACTTAAAATCTCATGTTGGCTTGCAGGCTCAGAGTTCCCATGATCCACTTACCCATTTACATCGGTATCAACCACAACCATGGGCTGAACTACAACACGTGGAGATTTGAATCCTGGTGACTAAGAGTCCTAGATCAATACTCATACCATTAGACCACAGTGGCTTGATCATAGAATATCACCTTACTTTCCTGTATTTTTTTCCAAGTGAAATAGTTTTTGTAGTTATTTTTTGTACGAGTCTTTACACTTTCAGAGTTGGGGATCAGTTCACTCCTCCCACATCATTCTGTCCCTACTCTCACATTTTCCCGAGTGCAGCATAGATTTCCACCTGTTTGTAAGATTGAGTATGCATTGTGGGTGACAGGCCTTTTGGCGTCACGGCTATTTTCTTTCCTTCCCTCCAGAAATATGCTTAAAGCACCACTGTGGCACTGTTTTGTTTTGTGATATTCCGCAATGCTACAGTAATGCAGCTCAGAGAAAAACTAAGACCCCAAAGGAGAACACACGATGGCAAGTAGTTAGCACACACAGTGCCTGAGTATCTTGAGGCTTTTGTTTTGATTTTCTTCTTTCCTTTTTCTTTCATGGAGAGAATTACCTTAGAACTGCATTGTGGGGTGTCACAAAACAAACAAATAAAAAACAGAAATCAACTGGTTTAAAATGTCACAACCTCCCTTCCCTGCAAATATTGAAGATGGAATAAGGCAGTTTTGAAAGGGGGTGTGTGTGTGTGTGAATTATTGCCATACTCACCTTTAAGGCCTTGCATGGTCTGGGGCCAATGTATCTGAGGGATCGTCTCACCCCCTACCAACCCCAGAGATCCCTCCGTTCTGAGGACCAAGATCTATTGGAGGTCCCCAGTGTCAAGACCTTGCGTCTAGCGGCAACCAGACGCAGAGCCTTCACAGCAGTGGCGCCATCAGTCTGGAATGCTCTGCCACCTGAGGTTCGTGCCCTGCGGGACTTACCAGCTTTCCGCAGGGCATGTAAGACATACCTGTTTCGACAGGCTTTTAATGTTTGATAGTGTTGTTTTTAAATTGTTTTAAATTGCTTTTAAATTTTGTTAGATTTTAGCCATTCTTGTAAGCCGCTCCGAGCCCCAGGGGAGTGGCGGCATATAAGTTTAAATAATAAATAAATAAATAAATAAATAAATATGATGAAGATCCTGCTGCACAAAAACACTTGCTGGCTTGTGAAATCCAAGCGCCTCAATTTCAGGTTTAAATCCCCCAAATGAAAAATCTCTAAGAACAAAATTATAAACACTGTTCATTAAACAGCACCATACAGTAAAAGGCTAAATGTAAATCTTGACAGCTAGAACATTTGTATCCGGTGTTGTCACTTGGTTCTATAATTTCATGCCTTGATTTTGTATTTTGCAGCCCACTCTGTCTGACTTTTAAAAAGCAATCAAGTGTAAGACTTGCTCTCAGATGTATGCATTTGAGTGTACCGGATCCAATCTTTAACACCTTGAGAGGATTAATGCTGGGTATTAAGACTATTTTACCTCAGATTTCTCAACAATCTCCTTAGAGCTTTAATTACTACCTATGCTTGTTCATTGATTGCTTCCTTCTTCTACTTCTGATCTTGACTTTTCATTTCACCTTCAGCTTCTTATTTCACCACTATTTCCCCTTCGGATTCCTGATTCTTGACCACGTAGACCTCTTTTTACAGAGACTTTTGTTTCTGGGCTCAGCTCAACTTTGCCTTTGTACCTTACAGAACTTGCTGTCATCAGGGGTGAGAAAGAGGATGGAAGGGGCAAAATAAAACCTTCCTTTTGTCCCTAAATTTCCAAAATTGCAGTAACTTAAAACATCAGTTGAGCATTTCTAAATATTGGTTAGACATCCATAGAAAAGGGGCAGGCAAAATTACCAAGATAATGTGAACATGGTAGGTTTAGTGTAAACAATTTTCAGTGTTTTTCTCTCTCTGCAATGCTAGAAAATTAAGGAATAAATGAAAATTTCCTGAGCAGGGCTTCTTATTTGGAAGGATAAAGTCCTCATTTTGTCTCTTCCATCTGGCTTTCATTGAACCTTTTCAGTCCTTTCAGCTTTTGTCTCTATCCAAATATTGGCCCCTCTGGACTTATACAAAGGGCATCCTTGGCAATATCAAACTTTAGTTTTCTTTAAATACTTCCCAGTTATTTATTTTTTTTGCTTGAACGTTCATGAACTTCCTAAGAGATCACAGGATGTTGCACTGATTCTCTAACCTCTGCAAAATCTGACTACTGTTGCAACACAGACTGATCACACGAGAATGAAACTGTTAAATTCTTTGCCATTTATCCTCCACCTGCCCACGCAATGTGTTCTGGTTTTTATCCTTCCATTTTATTCAAAACCTGGCAGAAGTGTTCCGTGTTCGCAGATAATCATTCAGTCAAGTACAGATGCAGGTGTTTATCTCCTCACGGCTCTTCAATATGAATAGACTCATTAGCAGCCTTGTGATTCAGCTCTGCATCAAATTGCTGATTCTAAAGAGTCAAGCAGAACCCATTTGTAGGACACCGCCCGATCTTATATTTTTAACGTTTTTACTTCAATCTCTACCATACATTATCTGTTCTTCATTCTTTTAACAGATCTCCTTATGCTGGTGTTTAAACAACTTCAAGAAGTAAATTTGTGACTTATGTAACTGTAAGAGCTCATTCAATGTGCAAACATTTAAAAAGTTAAAATAGTTTCCAAAGCCCTTAAAGGAAACAAAGGCTCTTAAAGTAAGAGCACAATGGGATATTTTTGCTGAACAAAATCATTTATTTCCAATGCAGGCAACATCGATTAATGCATTTATCCTGCAAGTCTAGAACTGATATCTAATTGGTAAAGATATTTTCATGCAATTGTAGAATTTACTGGACTTTTAAATAACAAAAGCCCATAACCATTTCAGTTCAATTTCATGTCATTGCTGATAAGAGAGTTTCCTTGTTGAAATTCCTGGATCTTTCAGCAGCTTAAAATAGCATTCACCACAGTATCTTACTGAACCAGCTGCACTGGACATGGGTTGTTGTGGTCCATCTGTAGGACCCATTCCAGTGAACAGCATTGGGCCATTAAGCTGTGGGCATGCCATGGAGTTCCACTGACGCTTTTGGGTGAGTGAGATCATTTTTGGGATGGGGTGACATTACTATACAGTTGGAACCCAGCCATAATTCTCTTTACTGTATGAATCAGCTGAGGCTGTGTAGGTGCTGGGACAAAACCTTAATGTAACAAATCAAGGCACATAAACTGAGGCTGAGTCCTAATAAGATAGTATTGGCGATTCTGTAAAGTGGTGGTTCTTAAATCCAGGAACTGAGTAAGCAACCTGACCTGGACAGGTTGCACTTTTCCTGAAGATGTGTGGGAATACCCTGAGAGTACTTCTAGGTCTGCCTCTGCCACTAGCAGATAAGTGGACTCTGTGGTTCAGAGTGTCCAGTGCCAACTAATGTACCACCTTTGGTTTTACTTAATAACTTAGGCATAATAGTTCAATAACTGGTAATCTTCTAGTTATATTAGTGCAATGAATTATACATAAGATTGCCCTTGAACATTATTTTGATGCTATAGCTAGTGCAATATGGAGTAGCGAGATTACTGATTGGCATATCATAGAGGTCAGTAGTACTCAAAGTGGTCATCCCTGGACCAGTGCCAGTCTCCTAGCTCACATTCCCTGTGAATCAACTAGAAAGAAGGAAACAATTGAAGCCAGTGGGAATAAGTATGCGCCAATCCCCGTCAACCTCGGGAAAATAATTGTCAGTTTCCATATAAGAAGAATGATATCATCATTACTACTATTGTTATTACTGTTATTATTTACTTTATTTACACCATACCTTTCTACACTTAGGTCAAAGTTTAACAATCCTACACTTTGGTCAAAGTTTAAAAAAATGCAATATGAACATTAAAAATAAATAAATAAATAAAATCATATTATATTATTATTATTATAACTTTATTTGTACCCCGCTAGCATCTCCCGTAGGACTCGATGCGGCTCACACAGGCCGAAGCCCCAAAACACAATACAACAGAACATAATACAACAGCAATACCAAAAGCAAATCAAAACAGTTAAGCAAAATAAACAACAACAGTAACAGTACATCAGGACACTTTAAAACTGGGCCGGCCAGAGCAGTGGGTACAGGAATTAAAAGTGCTGAAGTGGCAGGAGGAATGTAGGATTATAAAATAAGTGCGGTGTGCAGCGATCTTAATTCTACTAAAGTGCTTCTAGGACTTGGTGATGGGGATTCCTAATCTGAGAAGGCACATCGGAACAGCCAAGTTTTTAAATTCTTTCTGAAGACTGCCAATGTAGGGGCCTGTCTGAGATCTTTTGGGAGGGCATTCCAGAGTCGGGGGGCCGCCACAGAAAAGGCCCTGTCTCGAGTCCCCACCAAGCGCGCTTGCGACGCGTGGGATCACGAGCAGGGCCTTTCCAGATGACCGAAGTGAGCGTGTGGGTTCATAGACGGAGATGCGGTCACGCAGGTAGGGTGGTCCCAAACCGTTCAGGGCTTTGTAGGTGAGCACCTGCACCTTAAATTGGGCTCGGAAAATAAATGGCAGCCAGTGGAGCTCCTTAAACAGAGGGGTAGACCTCTCTCTATAATGAGCCCCGGTTAGCATCCTGGCTGCTGCCCGCTGGACCAATTGGAGTTTCCGAGCCGTTGTCAAGGGCAGCCCTACGTAATCATATGGATTAAGGCAAAACAGATTAAAATATGACAAATACACTTAAAATAGCCTTTTAAACAGGCATGGGCAAGTCTTAGCCCTCAACTCCCATAATTCCCAAGCTGGCTGGGATTTCTGGGAGTTGAAGTCCAAAACATCTGGAGGGCCAAAGTTTGTTCATACCTGCTTTAAAACAATACATAACACTGATTTCAAAGAGGTTGCACTAGCTATAGTTCACTTCTGATCTGAATTCTTGATGCTAGTGATAACATTAAAAGCCTAAATGGCTTGAGGCATTTACTAAAAGGAGTGCCACTCTCTATACCTGCCCTAGAACTGCTGTAGAGGACCTCTTCTGTGCACCACTGCTGTGAGAGATTCTTTGCATGGTAGCATAAGCAAGAACCATTTCTGCTGTGGTGCTCAATTTATAGAATGTTCTCCCTTAAAAACCAACTAGTGGCAATATTGGGTTTTTTTCAGGAGCAACTTGGCCACGGTGGTCCACACTCTTGTTACATCCCGAATAGACTACTACAATGCACTCTATATGGGGTTGCCTCTGAAGACTACCTGGAAGCTTCAACTAGTCCAATGTTTGGCAACCTGGTTGCTCACTGGGGCTGGGTGCAGGGAGTGCACTACGCCCTTGTTACGCCGGCTCCACTGGCTGCCTATCAGCTTCCGAGCACAAGTGCTGGCTTTGGCCTATAAAGCCCTGAACGATTCTGGCCCAGTTTACTTGTGCGAACGTATCTCCCGCTACAATCCACCTAGGGCCCTAAGATCATCTGGGGAGACCCTGCTCATTGTTCCCCCATTGTTGCAATCACGTCTGGCGGGAACAAGGGCCGGGGCCTTTTCTGTGGTGGCCCCCTGGCCATGGAACTCCCTCCTGAGTGAAATTAGATCCGCTGCATCCCTCTTGACCTTCCGGAAACAAGTAAAATCATGGCTATGGGATCAGGCCTTTGTAGATTAGGCTGACTTGCTGATGTATTGACTTATATAGAACTGATGGACTGCCCTTGGATGATGATTTAAACTGGTGAATGCTGACTGACTGATTGATTGTTTTTAAACTGTTTTTATACTGTTTTATATTGTTATTATTATATTGCCGTTAAATTGTGTATCTATGTTTTTGATGTGGGTGCCATGGGGGGGGGCGATTTGTTAGCCGCCCTGAGTCCCTCTGCGGAGGTTGAGATAGGACGGGATATAAAAGCCTGAAATAAATAAAATAAATAAATAAACTTGAGAAACTGCAGGTTGCTTCTGCTGCAAAATATGGAAGTGTGGGAACATACTTTCTTTTAAAAGTATACTTGTACACAGTTTTAACTATACTTCAACAAACTTTTAACAGCCCTTTCTGATATGTTAACTTGGGATTTCTAACATGTATAATGTTTACATAGTTTTAATCAAATTCTGTCCTGAGATCTCATGATGAAGGTGGATAAGTTTAAATATATATAAACAATAGTCAAGAATTTAAAACTAGAAGTCAATAGATATATGTTATATAACAATCTTCACAAGAAAATGGGACAATTGTTCTTAAAGTGAGCAATTTATCCTAATCTATAGAAGTGAAAACTTTGTAGTTTTGTTTCTGGAAGAAACAGATCATGGATATTGATTTCAGGAGCTACCTAGAGACATGAGAGCCAGGGAAAATAATGGCCACAATCCCTTCTTATAAGGATTGTGATTTTTCTAAGACCTACAGTGTTTGCAATCTCCTCCTATGCATATTCTCTCAGAAACAGCTGAGCACATTGTACAAGTGTGTCTTTTCTGAGACTCTCCTTAATTATAAACATAGTATTTCTTGCTTTTTGCTGAATAATATGGAGGCTTACCTGCAGTTTCTAAGATCGCTTAATACATTTTGTCAATATTAATAGTTATATGTTTGATTTTGATTTCATTTTTTCCTATCATTTTAACTGGGAAAAGGAAGGCATGCTTGAGTATTTCAACCAAGTATAACATCCCTGGCACTGGGTATGTGCTTGGCATTATTAATTGAATGATACAAAGGCATTTATGTACAATTAAAAATTCTACAGATTTACCAAGTTGCAATATTCTAAAGTGCAGCGTTATGTTATTTATTTCATATTATGTGTAGCTTATATTTGATTGGAAGGTCAGTATATCTTCATTTATATTAATTGAGAAATATTTGTGTGTATGAATTACTGTGTATGCATGTTATTTAACTTTGCCACTGAGATGGTAGCACTCGTGTTTCCCTTGCAGGATTCCTCAGTTCCAATTGTAAAGTAATCTTAAGTGACCATGACCAATGCTTTGCACAAAACCAGTTACAATGTCAGTGTTACCTTCCAGTGATGAGGAAGAACAGAGTGAGAATGACGAGGAGAGTGAATCCACCAACAGCAGCTGTGGCGATGACCAGGATTTGTCCCTGTTCTGCTGCTATATCTGAAGCTGAAACAGAAACACAAAGTGGTCAATGTATGTGCAGTTGTTTTAGTTGCAAGATATGCACATATTCTACTAGGAAAATGCATCTATTACAGCCAGGTGCAATAATGATATTTACTAAGATCTGACTGATGTTTTACTGAAAACAGAAATGACACAAGAAAAGAAAACATTTAGTACTATTGTTTGGGTGCTTTGTTTTTCCTGACTTCTAACTACAAATAGGAATACTTGCCTCCCACTATTGTGACTGATATTGTGAGGCAAAAGACATATAGCCATCATCTGTAGCTATTGAAAGTTATATCATTCATAGTGACCAAAGGATACTGTTATCTGCAAGGCTGTTATCCTTCATCTTATTTAATCTTCTGTTAAAGCCATCCAAGTTGGTGGCATCAGCTCACTGTGAGGCAGTCAACCACATAGTTCATAATGTAGTATGTGCTAACGTAAATCCTTTTGTCTATCCTGCACTTTCTGCTCTTCAATTACATTGGAGGTTGTCTGATTCTGGTATTCTGAGAGAAAAAGGACCTCTCTCTAACCGATTTGTTTACCTACATACATTATTTACCTCTTTCATATTCGTCCCTAAGTAAGTTTTCTGCTGGTCTAGAGATTAAAGCATGAACCAGTGGATTCAAGTAAGCACTATAGGATGTCATCATAAGGAAGTTGCTCATAGGAAAAAAAACAGAACAACTGGCAATCTAGATATTAAAGCATGAACCAGTGGATTCAAGTAAGCACTATAGAATGTCATCATAAGGAAGTTGCTCATAAGTAAGCACTATAGGATGTCACCATAAGGAAGTTGCTCACAGGAAAAGCAACAGAACCAATTGCCAATAGGTATGGTGAGATCTCCATTGCTGAAGGTGTGAAAAAAAAGATGATATATTCATATGTTGGGAAGGCCCTAGCTCTAGATTTCCTGCATCAAGCAGATGGATAGACTAGGTGGTCTACAGGTTTTCCTCTATGATCCTATGATTTATGATATTTTGCTTAACTTTATTTATTTTATTTTTATAAATGGTATATTGTAAATTGCTTCTATGTGGAGTAGTGGAAAGGTCAGCATAAATATTTTCCATAGATAAAACATGAGAACATGATTACATTCAAAGGATACTGGTAAAGATAATAGTTTGGATGTGAATTGAAAGCAACTGAATTAAAACATTTTGTATTGCTCAGAACCTGAATTTTCAGAATGTGCACAACAGTATATCTTATTCAACACATTTGAACATTGCTCTCCACCCTTACAAATACCATGGCAAAATAGAGATATTGTTAAAACTATGAATAACTGTGTAAATAAACAAGACATGCAATCATTTAAGAAAAGAAAGCAGCACATATTATAGAATAAACAGAACCACGAAAAATGATGCCAGGGCAAAGAAGAAGCTGACAAGGAAACAGCTGCAATGTTGGCACCAAGTACACCTGCATGGAGGAATTAATCATTCTGGTACACAAAAAAGAGGCAACTCTTAACCTTGTTGACACATCATGTGCTGTTAGTAATTGGTAAGTAACAGGAGCCACTCCAGATAATTTTTTACATACCGATTTCCCTTACTCTAGTCCAAGTCACCATTGGACAGTAGCTTCACTGAGGAGCCTTGAGCATCAGAGCACACTGCATAGCAGTCTAAGCTTTATGAGAGGCATTCTGATTATTCCATGTTGCCAAAAATAAGATAAGAGGAAACGGAAAAGTATTTAGAGGTAATTATATGGGACAGCACTGAGATAAGCTACTATTTAAAATATTCTGGTGAATGCAGGCAATTAGGTTGATTATTATCACTAGCTGCAAAACTATCTCTCCAAAATGTTTCAAGAATCCTGGATACAATTTTTGAACTCCACTGGATTTAGCAGGATCAAATTATGACTCCAGAAATTAGGTGTTCAGGCTGTGTTGGAAAGTTGTAAATGCATAAAGGTAAAGGTTTCCCCTCGACATTAAGTCTAGACTATTCTGACTCTGCTGGCTGGTGCTCATCTCCATTTCTAAGCCGAAGAGCTGGTGTTGTCCGTAGACACTTCCTAGGCCATGTGGCTGGCATGACTGCATGAAGAACTGTTACTACATGGAGCGCTGGCATGACTGCATGGAGCACTGTTGTAAATGCATACAAAAGCAGTAATAATTCATGTTCAAATTGCAATGTAAATTATTGTTGTATGGCCAGCCTTCGTTTCTTGGTATGTGATGACAGCAATTTTGGATAACACATGTTATGTTCTTTCTCAAAAACTATTCAGACAAGTCAAGCTTGTGGAGTGACCACACTTGGAGTGTAGAACTGAGGTCTTTAATGACTAATCTTTCAAATTCCAAATAGCTAGTTATTAGGGCTGGGTAACAACGGAAAAATTTGTTTCTAAACTCGTTTCGTTTTTAGGGGGTCCATTGCGTTTCGTTTTTTAAAAGAATTCCGAATTTTTCTTTAAAAATTTCGTTATTTACGAAATTTCGTAAATTTCGAATTGATTCGTTAATGGCGGACACGATTGCGCAATATGCTAAAAAACCCTCCAAATGGGACAGGGGGAACTTCTGAAGCTTCCCTCTCCCTCTGTTGTTGACTGTTGGTGTGATAATTTATTTTTTATCACTGATAAAACAAACAACAACTATAAAACTTGCACCAGACATACGGAAATAATAACGAAACAATTTCAATATTTCGAAACGATTTCGAAATGATTTCGAACCAATTACGAAACAATTACGAAATAAATTGAAAAATTCGTTTCGATTTTTAGTTGCTCCTGCATGGCTCAATATCAGATCATAAGCCAATTTAAATACGAATCAATAACGAATTACGAAATTAACGAACGAAACCGCCCAGCCCTACTAGTTATGTTGAAGCAATGAGTTTCACACTTCACATTATGGTCTGCTCTTTAGTATTCCGGCTGCTTGGAAAAATCCAACATAGGGAAATCCAATACAACCCAAGTTAATATCCATACCATACAGTTTTATTTTAAAAAACTGCAGAGAACTGCAAAGTAACTACTTCAGAGATCGGTAAGGGGGGAAATAAATTAGGAAAGAGGTTCATAGCCCCCCCCTCAAAAGAGAGAGAGTTAAGATTCACTATTTTACAGCAATAAAAGACAAGGAAAAAACAACTGGAGGGATGTGTAAATTGCTTGCTATAGACCCCCAATGTGGCATTGTGTTTTGGGTTTGAATATTTGTTTAATCATAAAACCTGATGGATGACCTTGGGCAGGCCATTCTCAGCCTGAGAGGAAGGCAATGGCAGCCAGTGAGTACATGAAGAGAAGCCTCTGGTGGCGCAATGAGCTAAACCCTTGTGCTGGCAGGACTGCCGACTGACTGGTCAGCGGTTCGAATCTGGGGACAGTAGGTTGAGCTCCCTCTGTCAACTCCAGCTCCCCATGCAGGGACATGAGAGAAGCCTCCTACAAGGATAGTAAAACATTAAACATCCGGACGTCCCCTGGGCAACATCCTTGCAGACAGCCAACTCACATGAAAAAAAAAGTACAAGAAGCATGGAAAGAAGGTTTGAAGGAAATGGAAGGTGAGACAAGGGTAGCGCAACGAGGGAAAGGAGGATGGGATTCAAGAAGCCAAGGAAGAGGCCACTTCAAATGGTTAAGTGGATGCAAAAGGATGGAGGGAAGAAGACAGGTATAGTGATAGTTTGCAAAGCACAAATGTGAGAAGTCTTGAGATGTTGAAACACATGGCAAAGGAAGGTAAAACAAGGAAGGTAACTGTTGAAGTGGCAGGGCACAATTAGAATGCAAATGAATAATATGCATAATTATAATGATATATAATGATATGTAAATTAGATGCCAGGATTTGAGGAGTTCAAAAATATCAATCCTATCTGTATCTATATACAATATAGGCTCTAGCTGTCTTTATCACTACATGAAGAGATTTGGCTTAAAATCAACTGGTACAGAAGGAATATGATGAAAAGCCTGATTGCAGACAGGTAGACATCAATTAGCTTTAGAAGACCAGCAGAGCTATTATCTTCTGTTTCTCACATGGCAGTCTGCTAGATCAACACAACAGAACTGTGACAATTTCCAAAAGCCATTTGTGACAAGGCATGGAGTGGGGGGATTTCTGTTACATTTAAATTAAATTTTCAGGAGATTCTTTGCTTCTGATCCCATTTCTACTGTTGAAATCAGCAACGCCCCCTCCTTCTTATAAAATTTATATAAATAAATTATCACAGCACAGAACCATGTTTCCAAAGCATTTTATTCTTCAGACCCAGATGATGACTCTAGTTTAGTGACAGAATAAAGCAATTTTTTGCTGCAGGCTGTCAAGAACAGACTGGAATACTTATAATTCCACACACCAAGGTGTTGTCTTTAATATTTGTAATTCACTTGTACAGAGAGTTCTTGCAAAGACTACTAAAAATGCATTACTTGCCTGAAGAATAAGCGAATGGGACACATGATCTACAAGACACATTCCTGATATTAGTATAAATTATGAAGAGTCTAAAAATGAATCTCAAGTTAAAAATGAATTAATAGTGTGATGTGGTGGCCAAAAACCCCTCGTCCAAATTTGATCCCAAGCTGAATTTGCAGGCATTTACTGTCTAGATTAATCATGGTAGCAGTGCCACTCTATTCTGCTTTGATGTGACCTAACCTAAAATACTATGTCCAGTTTGGCCACCACAATTCAAGAAGGATATTGACAAACTGAAACATATCCAGAGAAGGATGACCAAAAATAATAATATCAAAACCACACTGTATGAGGGGGGCTGCATAGACATGAAGAAGAGAAGACTAAGTCTTCTTTAAATCACTGAAATGATGTTGTGTACAGGGTTAAACATGTTTGCTTTCTGCTTTCTGCTGGTCTAGAGATTAAAGCATGAACCAGTGGATTCAAATTCCGAGACAAAATTTGACTAAAATATTAGGAAGGACTTTTTGATTATAGGAGCTGT